ACTGTGAGTGGTAACGATTCAGTGGGTTCAATTAGGTGTTTTGTTTCAGTAAAAAGTCAATAGTGAAATATTATGTGTTTTATGTGATGTCATTTCACCCGAAACCAAGGTGAAAGTTGAGAAAGAAATGTTAGAAAGAAAACAAAGTTACAGTACTGCAATTAAAATGGATTCACGGGAGCAGAAAAGGGAAAGCAAACACACATTTAAACAAATAAAATAATAAAACCAGGAGTCTACAGCCACGCTAGCGGCTCTATCAGGCTGAACTGTGGTCAGCATGCTAACATGCTAATGTATAGCAGGTATAATGTTTACCTCGGTCATTATTTTACCTTAGCTTCTGAGCACGCTAACATTTGCAAAGTACGGCTGGGGCTGAAGGTAATGTTTTTCTGATATTTGGCCACGAACCAAAGTTTTTTACAAATTGTAATTCTGACCTGATGATGGCGCTAGATGAAAAGTCAGAAGATCACCATTATCATTATTATTATGTCATTATTATTCCTGAGGTGAACATGAATGTGTGTGATGATGCATGTACATTTCATCCAGTAGCTGTTGAGGCATTTCATTCTGAATCACAAATGTCAACGTGCTGGTGGCATTAGGAAAGAGGCCAGGAGGTCGCCAAAGTCATTGTGATTAATACTCCAGGGAACGTGGATGTCTGTACAAAATTCAACGGTCATCTATCATCATCGCCATCCGACAGTTGTCGAGATTTGTCAGTCGGAGCAAAAGTAGTGGACCAGCTAAGTAAGATGCCCATCCATAGGGCCCTGCTGCTGGTGTGGCTGAAAATAAAGCTGCAAATAAACTGAGAAAATATGTGGAATTGACAGTCAACATATTACTAAAAAAAGAGGGGGGAGAATGGAAAGAAAGGCATTCATCACCATGATTAATCTAACATAATAGGCCTCCATCAGCTATAATGGACCTCAGCGGGTTCAGTGGAATTAAACTCCAGGCAGCAGGGTTTAACAATATATCTCACCACAACCATTCCTCCTCAGACATACTTGCACCCCAAACGCATACCTTCCTTGAGGCTGAGGAATGAGAGCTAGCTCACACACTTCCCATGCTCCCCCGCACCGTCAACTTCCTGTTTGTTTATAGAGTTTCATATTTCAATGCTCCCACAGTAAGATTGTATTCTCCCTATATCTGTTTCTAATCTGTGGCCTTCTTCCCTTTAAGAAACCTGGAAAAATATGCCAAGGATGCAAACAATTGCTAAGTAATAAAATGCAAACATACCACTGGACCTTTGTCATGTTACTGGTATGTTATTTGTTTATTGTTTAGTTTCTCAGAACAATTTTCTCTCAGAGTCAAGGGTATTAGCATTGGTGAGCCCAGCAGTGACTCACTAACCATTCAGGGCCTGAGAAAACAGAGAGGGTAAATTCCTCACAGTATCTTGAGTTCAGGACTGATATAAGACCTGTGGGGATTTCTGTAGAACTGCCTTCATATCGTATGATTCAACTGTGTGAATCACAGATAGCTCAGCATTTAGATTTCCCCTTAACTGGTACGTCACTTATCAATCAGCTTTACCTTATATGTTCAGAATTGGCAAAGACAGTCATCAGTGTTTAACAAGTGAACAAGTATGTCTACAGGTTGAGTAGAGGTGGAAGAAATACTGAGATCCCAACAGCAGCAAAACCCATGTACAACTCATTCATAAAAGTTGTAGAAAAAGTAGCAAAATAGCTCCTATTAGATTATATTATTGTATTATTATTATTGTTGCATTACTGTCTAAGCACCAGTTTGTATGTGGGGTTGGGTTGTTAACAAAGTATCATATTTTATAAACTGATCATTTGCTTTGTATTTAAAACCTAATCTTTGGAGTCTGTCAAACAGAAATGTAGAACAGGGGTATAAAGTGGCTTAAAATTGAAATACTAGAAGCGTAGAAGTACCTCAGAACTATACGTAAGTACGGTACTTGGGTACACGTATTTAGTTACCTTAAACCACATTTTGTTTTTCATGTTTTTAAAGTGCTATTATGGAGATTTAGTATCACACGTCCATAAAGTTGAAAGACTTGTTAGAGACAGATGCTTCAGGGGCTGAGACATCTTCTAACTTTAAAAACACCGGATCCTACACTTTACAATAATACAACTCGACCGACACCCCCAGCCAAAATATAATGTAAGTCCACAATTTTTCTGTTTATAAATTTAGTTTCTGTTAGGGTCTGGAGAAACACAGGGGTCAGAGGTATATTTTAAGACCTGACAAAGCCACAGGAGACATTCTTGTTTTTACAATTGGGGCAGCAGTGGCTGAGGAGGCAGAGCCGGTTGTCCATTAATCAACCAGGTTGATGGTTGGATTACCAGCTTCTCTTGTGCACAGTGTCCAAGTGTAACTGAGCAAGACACTGAACCCCAATTTCCCCTGACAACCGGGTGAGCGCCTTGCATCTCTGCCACCATCAACGTGCAAGTGCGTATGTGCACGGGTGAATGAGAGACATAATGAAAAGTGCTTTGGTATAAAATAAATAGTATATAATTGTAGTCCATTTACAGAGTCAACGGTTCTTTTTTATGCAAAGCAGTGTAAATTGAAGGAGTTCCCCTTTAACATCAGCTGTTCCCAATGACCTGAACTGTTTTTCAAGGAGGTGGTGGGGGGAACCTGAATACACCTGCTTCCACCAGAAACAACAAAGAGGACTTATTTCGGGGGTTGGTGGGACAGAGGGGATGGTTCAATCTAATTACAGACTCTGGGGAGATGACTTCATTGAGGTGACGCCCGACCCTAGGGTGAGTATTTTTCTGTGTCTCCCATCACATAAGGGGTACGAGGCCTCTCCAATTACTGTAGGCAGGTCTGGTCTGTACCTTTATGTAGTAATTAAATGGCTGACTATGGTATTTTGCAAGTCAAATAAAGAGCATATGTAGTGTAGTAAGCGCAACCTGATCTCATCTGACAGTCTCTGTGACTGCAGTAATGAGAGTTAAGCAGCCTCTCTGGTGTTTGTATTAGTCTCAGTCACTTCCTTTAGACTCTTGCTATAGTATGACAGTAAGTGGAGGTGTGCATTAGTCATTGGGTTTCTTTTGCGGTTTGAACATCCATTTATCCGCAAGCTCAGGGGCTTCAAAGATGGGATACTGACAAGCTCTCCTCGGGCACTATCACACTCGTAACTAAATTACAAGCCCATGTATGTCGGTCCTCCTCTCATTCCCAGGACAATTAACTGCGTCTGACAGTGGGCTAATGAGCCACATAGCCAGGGCATTTGTTCTATCTGCAGTTGAGATCAGTTGCCATTAGCCATTGCGAGCAACCCCCATACAGTCTTCTTAAAATGGAGATTGATGAAAAAGGAGGCAGTGCAGAAAACAAGATTACTGTATGAGCAATAATTACTGCTGAGGGGGTGGGACTGGAAAAAAAGAGTAAAAGCATCCATAAAAGTGTGTGTACATGTGAACGCAATGACGGGCCAGCAGGCGGATGCAGACATTATTAACCCAAATTATCTGGATTAACTGCTTTGTGTTTACATGACAGACAGAGATAAACTGTTGTTCCCGTTACACACTACAACATCAGCCACTTAAGGGCTTTCTGTAACCATAATGATGTGCATGCCAGCCGAAAATGTGTTCTGGAAGCAACTTGGATTTTCTTTGAGTGTGTCAAGGCACTTTTGCTGGCTTCTTTTGCTGGAAAATGCAATTAAACAGGCGAAAACAAGACTCTGAGACAACTTCAGTGAAGAATAAAAGGAGTTATTAGTCAATAATTTTATGGGTCCAGACCTTCAAACACAAATGGATTTCTGAAACAGTGTGTGTAGTTACTAATTCTGAGCATTTGGGGGTTAATTATTCTCCACAACGTTAAAATATAACATTTTAAAGCTTCCTTGGAATTAAAGGATTCAAATTTGGTCAGCCCATAGTTTGATTCGATCACTTAATTGAACAGATTTTCTTATGAAACCATCTCAACCCAGACAGGACCATGGCTCTCTTTGCTTCTCATTAAGGTACTGAAGCGCCATCTAGTGCTCTTTGTAAGGGTGTGACCTTATAACACACAAACCCTTGAATAAATATGATTAAAGGTTGACTTTCAACCATCATTCACACAGCTTGAAAAGACAGTCACAGAGGTGAGTCCTGCCCCTGTAATAAAGCAAATCATTCCTGAACTGGCTGCATTGTTATCTTGCTATGCCAAACACAATGGGAATTGTTGTCAGCCTACATAATGTAAAGCATGACAGCATGTTGTGACAGCATTATATCATATGGAGGACCTCTGTGTTTTCGTTATCTATCAGTGTTTTATTCTATTTTTAATAGTTAATTCTTTGTATGTCTCTTTATTTTTTATTTATCTCTCAATCACTGTTTTCCTCTAGTTTTGATTCTTGAGCTCCTGTAACATGTAATTTACCCAGTGTGGGATCAATAAAATGTATCTTATCTCATATAATCAGAAATGTAACTGTTACTTATTTTAAAATATTTTTTATTTTATTACTGTTTAGCCCAAACAGTGACATCTGGTGGTCAAACTCTACACACATTTTGAAGTTTAAATTGAATTATTTCAAAGCAGAATTAACATAATTAATTAAATCAGATATTGCTTTAATCTTTAATACCATAATACATTTCGCTTTAAGGCTTGATATAACTTTATTTGTTTCATCTTTTTTCTCTCTCAAAGTCTCACATGGAGTCAACAGAGCAGAAAAAAGGGGACCCCTCGACAAGGTTGAGGTGAACCCGACGGACTTTAGGACCCCGCTGAAGCCCAGTGAGAGTCACATGACTGCTGTAGCGGGACGGTGGAGGATGGTGCGGCTGCAGCCAGCAGACATGCTGAGCTGAAAGCTGTATAGACATGAAATCACAACAACACGGGCCCTAATAAAGATCAGCGATGAATTCAGTTTAGGCTGAGTCCTCCTCGCAGGGAAGGCAGCGGACATGGCTGCTGGTGTCTTTCTCTTCGTCGCTGTGAACGCCGCCTGTTTGGCTGTCAGTGGAAACTTGGTAAGAAAAGAAACTAAAAGTTGCAACTACTTTTTATAGTAGAGAGGTCACCTGATCGCTCACAGGTTTGGAGTTCCTGGAAAGTTTTCTACCAGTTTACTTATAATAGATTTTTTTTTTTCATTGTATCTTGGTTTACCAAACAGATATAAAGTCCACACTATACTAATGCTCATCTATATTTCCCCCTGCAGACAGATTGAATACCATACTGTATGTCATGAAAGAGGAGGGTTTTAAAATACACTCTCATCTCTTGCAGGTCTCTGGAGAGAGATCCTTCTCTATAGACTACAAAAACAACTGTTTCCTCAAAGATGAGAAGCCTTTTCAGTACATCTCAGGCAGCATCCACTACTCCAGAATCCCCCGGTACTACTGGAAGGACCGCCTTGTAAAGATGTACATGACTGGACTCAATGCTATCCAAGTGTAAGTTAATAAGAAGCATATACAGCTGTCTATTAATTCCAATGTTAGGTGGGCTCCTTTTACATCCAACCATTGCATTTTCTTACGTTATTGTATATTTGATTCTCTTTTGTTTTATTTTACTTTACTCTATGCACACATGAAGATAAACTTGAATACATATTTTTTTTTTTTGCCATTCAGCATGTTATTTGTTTGTTGTATTCATTCTCCACACAGATATGTGCCCTGGAACTTCCATGAAGCGGTACAGGGGGTCCACAACTTCACAGGGGACCGAGATCTGGAGCATTTTTTGGATCTGGCCAATCAGACAGGTCTCCTGGTCATCCTGCGTCCCGGTCCGTACATCTGTGCAGAATGGGAAATGGTGAGAAAAATAAGAAAAGAAATGAAACACACGGGATATTACAAATAGATTAAAGAGAATTATAGATCTACCAGCTGTCTTCATCTCTATCTGTGCTACATTCAAGGAGGTTTACAGTCAAAGTAACAATAATGTTGTTATTGAACAGTATGCTCAATGCTTTTCATCACCAACTGTTTACAACTTTATTAAAACGTTTCTCAATTGTAAAATGTTTGCATTACTCGTATCAAAACATGTACACTTAATAATGTATGGCAGTAGATGTGGTAACTATGTTACTATGGTTTTCATGGAGGATTTTTTATTTAACATGTATCTCATATATTTAAAATTGAGGATTACTCATTACTTTTGTGAGAAACAGTCATTTTACCAAGAAATCAGAGATATGATCTGCGACTGCTTCCTGTTTTGTGCTCTCTCAGTGATGTTGTGCAACTGTTCTTTCTTCCCAGGGTGGACTGCCAGCGTGGCTGCTTCAGAAACCAAACATCATACTCCGCTCAGCTGACACTGGTACAACATACGCCTACTGTTTGTGTCTTTTTTTATTAGTAATATGTCATTTATGTGTTTGTTTTCTTCTGCTCCAGATTATGTCGAGGCTGTCAGCAACTGGCTCGCTGTCCTTCTCCCCAAAATGAAACCGTGGCTGTATATCAACGGGGGCAACATCATTACTGTCCAGGTAGAACATTAAGTTAATTAATAAGTTTATTTTATCAGTTAGTATTTGAATATTGGTTTTAATTAATCATCTTATTCAACTACAGGTGGAGAATGAATATGGGAGTTACTACGCTTGTGACTACAACTACATGCGTCACTTGCGGACTCTGTTTCGCTTCTTTCTGGGTGAAGACACAGTCCTGTTCACCACGGACGGAAACACAGACAGGGAAATGACATGTGGGACTCTGGAGGGGTTGTACGCCACGGTAGACTTTGGAACAGGTTGGTACTGTATGAAAATAATTAGAGATAGCATCATCTGCTTTCTAAAGTTTTTCCTAGGGAAATCTGACTATTCTCCTGTTTATTCCCTGATACAGCAAACAACATAACTGAAGCGTTCAAGCGGCAAAGACGGTTTGAACCACGAGGGCCCCTGGTTAGTTACATCTTAATTCACTTATAACAAGGTGCAGCACTTCCTAATTCATCAAACCAAGTGTATGACTAAAAAGCTTATTTGAAATGATATTACAGGTGAACTCTGAGTTCTACACTGGCTGGTTGGACCACTGGGGGGATCCGCATGCTGTGGTTGATGCTCAGAAGGTCAGCAGAGTGCTAGGAGAAATGCTAACCATGGGGGCCAACGTCAACATGTATGTCTCCCCAAACACTCGTCGCACATTTGGCTGGCATTGTTCTAAATCTCCTTATTGTCAATCACATGACAAGCTCAAAACCGACAACGTGCTAGTGCTTTCGACCTTTTTGACTTCTCTGGCCTTCCTGTGGCTCTTCCCCAAGCCCATATTCAAACAGTAGTGACGGTGCATTTATTGGGGACTATTTTAAGTTGCAGATTAATACATACATGCTTGACTGAGTAATTACAGCGTGTGTTGGTTTTGGCATTTCCATGTGATTTGTGGACAAAATAATAGAATATATAATAGAATATTGGCAGCCTTTTCTTTAGGTTGCATCAATCACCAGTTTGAGATAAAACTGCTCCCAAGAGGTGAAAAAGCACTTAGTTTATGTAATGAACACGTTTTTCCTGCTAAGTAATACAGTCTACCCCTCTCTCCTCTAGGTACATGTTTGAAGGAGGCACTAACTTTGGCTACTGGAATGGTAAAGTCTTTGGTTTTCATTATCAGTATCTTTTTTTTTGGGTTTGATTTCATTTAGATGGAGATAAAAGCTCAGCGTGTGGTGCCATTCCTCTCTTTGTAGGTGCCGATCATGACACAAGGTTCCGCTCTGTAGTGACTAGCTATGATTACGATGCCCCGCTGTCTGAGGCTGGAGACCCCACGGAGAAGCTGTTGGCCATCAGAGATGTCATTAAGCAGGTACCACTGATTGAACTGCCACCCACTAGGGTTGATGTCCTAATTACACTTGTACACATGTCAAAGATATGATTAATGCATCACTGTTTCTCTACAGTTTAGAGACATTCCCTCTGGCCCCATGCCACCAGCAACTCCCAAGTTTGCCTATGGCTTTGTGACCCTGAAAAAGGTAATATGATTGCAGGTTTTAAATGCAAAAAGTCAGCCAGTGAGTACTGTGATCTATCCTAACAATGGACACACTTTTTCAGGTTGGCAACATCAGCGGTCTGTTAAACACCCTGTCACCCCTCGGGCCAGTGAAATCCCAGTATCCTCTGACATTTGAAGAGCTGAAACAGGTATGGTGTCTGTCTGAAGGCAACAACAGCGGGACTAGTGCTGTAGTGACAGTAAACCTCTTGAAACATGGAGAACTTCTAGACTGTTGTGTCTGCAACCTGTCATGTTTATTGTGTTCAGTACTATGGATACATGCTGTATCGGACCACACTGCCCAGGGACCTCTCAGAGCCCACGCCACTTATCTCTCCCCTGAATGGGGTTCATGACCGTGCATATGTGTCCGTCAATGGGGTAAGCCTTTACAATGAACTTTTGTTGTCTACTAGCCAATCAGATTTTCAGGCCAGGTATAGGGAAAACATCACAGTTATTGTTGTTTATAATTGGTTGTGAAATCAGTTATTTTTTTAACGTTCATACTAATGACCAAGAGTGTGCGTCTGTGTGGACAGGTTTACCAGGGCCTGTTGGAGAGAGACACTGCACTGGTGACGAACGTCACTGGACAGCAAGGGGACACCGTCGACATCCTCGTAGAGAACATGGGCAGGGTTAACTTTGGCAGCAAGATCAATGACTACAAGGCAAGAGAACAAAGTGTAATCCCATCGAGAGTAAATTACATTTTCTCTGCACACACAATCACTTCTTTAACGCTCGTGGTCTGCTGACATCGTCTTTACTTCCCCATTGTTTGGGGCTCCACAAACCTCAGTCAGTGCTATATGTGTGAAACTAACTAACTACTAAATCAAGCTTTTTCTTTAATTTTTTGAAGTACTGATAGTTATAATCCTTCCCGTTGTCTTAAACTAGGCTTGTATGTTTGAGAAAGGTCACAAAATACATAAATGACCATAAAGCATTGCAACTGCATTAAATAAGTACATTATTCAAGATTTATATGATATATGGGGGGTGTACAAAGAGAAATAGTTATTTTATTTAACGAAACAATTACTCACAAACAGAATGTTATTTATGTACAGTATAGTGATAGACAGTTAGACCCCAGCGTGCTCTAACTCTGTACCTCTGTCGTGTTATGAAATTACACTGACAAAAATACACATTAGACTTCTTATCTGTACAGGTGCTTCTCCAATAGACTAAGTCTTCAAATTCTCTATCTGTTTACATATTTGAAATATTTTGGACTTGGGGTCTTGGGTCCAAAGGACAGCAAACAGAACGTAAGGTTGATACAGCTGTAGTACTAGGGACAGTTCCTGTCAGAGGTGGTAACAGACCACAAACCCTAAAACTTGATTCACTATGATTGGAAAAAATGAAGACAGAAAACATTCTGGGTTACCGCAGGGCCTCTTGAGCAACCTGATCCTGGGTAAAGATGTACTGACTGACTGGAAGATCTACCCTTTGGACATTGATGGAGCAATCGCTGCTGGATGGCCTCATTCCAACAGTCACAAGTCGGTACCTGCACCTCAGAAAGAACCTTCATTTGGGCCAGTCTTCTACATGGGGACCTTAGAGCCCAACGGCCTCGCTTGGGACACTTTCCTCAAGCTCAATGAGTGGACAAAGGTAATATTGGCGCCTACGCACGCACGTAACCTTTGTGGGTTTAGCTCAAAATAAGTTTTCATCGTTTTCTTTTTTTTATATCAGGGCCAGGTTTGGATTAATGGGATGAATCTGGGACGATACTGGCCAGCCAGAGGCCCCCAACAGACTCTTTATGTCCCTGGACCCCTACTCAGCAAAAACCAGCCCAACAGAATCACAGTGCTGGAGCTGGAGGGGGCCCCAGCACACCTACGGGTTCTCTTCATGGACCGGCCTCAGCTCAATGCCACTACTAAAAAGTCTTGACAGAGTCCACTGGGTTGTGTTGCACAACATTTCCTTAGCATTCAGCTGTAGGAATACTGCATCCCAATCCCATCTGTTTAATGCATTCTGTACATTAAGAGTGAGGTTGTCCGCTGAACCGTTCACCCAACATGAGTTTTCTTTCTTCTGCATCATTTCTGTGGCATCATTATTCTTTATCATTTCAGATTTCAGTGTTCAATTTTTAGCCAATCAGTCGCAATCCAATGTCAACTCCTTTAACCTTTGACACAGCAGCTTCAGTCAAACAGTGAAATGTGAAAGAATCACAATGATATACACACAGTATTCAATTTTTTTTAATTGCATTGCTTTTTTACCTTTTCCATAACTGCAGATACTGTGAATAAATTACACATTTCTAACATTATGTTTTAATGCTGTATATGCATCCAATTTTCATCTGCCATGATAAAATTATATTTGAAATGTATGTGTTGAGTTGAGCCATATTAGACTCCTGACAAGAGAGCAGAAATACACTTTTAGTTTTAATGAGGTAGCTTCTTTTCAACGAAAAATGTTATCAGGTCTTGCCTGGAACAGTATTGGCTTTTCGATGTGCTTGGACACAGCGAGGGGTGCAGAACGAATACTCCAGGTACTGAAATGGGATCTTCCCAAGCAGGGACTCTCCACACAACCAGCACCTCCTGGTGACAAAGACAAAAAAACACACCGCATTTCAGTAAACAAAACAAGTAACAAACCATTTGCCATATTGCTTAAACGAGGAGCTTTCTTTTCTGTTGATTCTAGAGGCCCCCGTGGACAAAAGTGGTAGTGTTTCTACTGCCTTGTTTCGTTGGTTTAAGGGGAATGCTTTTGTAGGTTCTATAGGGAGATCACTATTACATGGAGACTGTTTTATAACCAGTTAAAACTCCTTGTAGTAGTTTCAATATAAAGTTGTAATTTACATCACATTTGCTAAGCTCAGTGTGGCCTTGAGGGGACTTACTTGACATTAGAGAGGCCGACTCCCGTTGCAGCCACTTGCTCTGCTAACCTCTTCTCTGCTGCCAGAGCTCTCTATAATCCAAAAAGGAAACATTTAACATTTGAGATGTTTTTAAAAAAAAAAAAAGACATAACTTGAATATCAGAGATTAAATACACATTCAGTCACCTTTTCACGATCAGTCAGAGATGCAAACCTCTTCTTTTCCTCTGCCTCCAGCTCTTGTTTCCTCTTTTCCTCCTTCTGCTCTTTTTCTCGCTGTTTTCTCAATGCCTTTTGTGCCTTTTTTTTCTCCGACTGTTTGGATTCAATCTCTGCCGTTAATGGTGCAGGGATCTTGAGTTGTGTAAAGAATAAATGAATTTATATATAGATGTTCTGCTTGTATTTAATGGGATACATTTTAAAGGCTGTACTGTACACTCTTACCTGCGCCTTGCTGTAGTCATATTTCTCTGGATTCTCACCCATAAATTTACGAAAGACATTCCTTGTATCTTTGTCCGGGGCAACAATATAGGGGGTCTGCCCTTTGTTATTCCTGTCAAGGAATATTGCATGGTCATACGTTCACTTCATTCACTACAACTGCTGCAAATGATCACACTGGAATTACACTTTACTAAATCCTTTTTCATACCTGGAGGCTGGGTCTGCTCCTGCATCCAGGAGCAGCTTGACCACAGCCTTCTGTGCCGCTGCTGAGGCAACATGCAACAAAGTGAACCCTGACAAGTCGATGGGTTTATTAAGGAGAGTTAGAGGACTTGGGACATCAGAGGGGTTGCTCTCCGACCGCTCTGGACTCTCTCCCAATTCTCCAGGGAGCTGGAGGAGTCTGCATAGAGTGTCCGCATCCCCAACCTTACAAGCTGTAAACAGGGCATCCCTCACGCCGTACTCCCATGATTCATCAGCAATTTCTAAGAAACACAGAAAAGCTAAATATAAGTATCTTGAACATTACATATCACAAAAGGTGGCAAGTTGCAAGATTGAGAAATGGGTGCAATATAATGAACAACAGTGAGAAAAAAAGCACCTACTAACCTTCCAGTTGCATCTTACTCTGTGCTTTCCTCTTCTTCTTCTTTAAATTCGTCTCTGGAGGTGCGTCTCCCACTGGTGTAGCCTCAGGCACCTCCTCCTCTTGATTATCTGCATCTGTGTTACTCAATTCTGTCACACATATGATACGAAATTTCATAAACCTTGCAGAACCTTTGTGTGATTCCTTGGGTTTCTATAATGTACCTATTACCACCTATGAAGATGGCACACTGGACCGGACCTACCCTCTTTTTGCATTTTGGTTTCCTCCTTCTTTCTCCTCCTCCTCCTCCTGTGTCTGGGGGGATAGATTTCATACTCCCTGAGGTCCAGAGTTCCTAATGTCAGCTCCACCATCTCCAGCTGGATCTCTCCGCTCTCTTCTTCTTTATCTGAGCTATCATGATTTTCTTCTGCTGATGACAAAATAAAAGGAAGTGTACTGTAATGCCAAAGTTTTATAGTTTTATATTTGATCCACATAAGAGTTCAATACAGTGTAAGCCCACAGGGGACATATTAATCTGGTATGCTTACCTTTCTCTTGATTGGTATCTATTTGTGCTGTAGGTTTGACAGTTTTCTTCCAGGCCTTCTTTGATGGACTGAAGACTGCAGACATGTCTGTGTCTTTCCCTGCATCAAGATATTTTGATTATACCCTGGCTGTACGACCGTCAGCAGATAACAGGTCATTATTCCAAGGATATAATTCAGCTTACCATAAACATGGACGGTGGAAAGCACCTCATGCACCCTCTTTGCCTCCCGAAAGGTTGCCCTGCGTGTGGCAAAGGGCAGCGTACGGATCCTGGGATCTTTTTTGTCAAACGGAGCTGCGCGGCCACCAAAAAAGATGCTTTTATTGTAGCTTGGAGCTCGCACAAATATAGCAGAGGCCTCCTTTAAGTGTTCAACCCAGCTTAGCAGGAGATCCTGAATGTCCTGCAAAGGGTTACAGAAGTGTTTATGTACGCAACCTCACATTATAATAAGAATTGTATTATACACTGTAGACGACAAAATTAACAGTATGTGTCATTGTTGCAGTCCCATTTTTGGGAGTTTTTCTTCTGACAAAAATGTAATTGCTCACTCAAATTTGCCATCCGTTGCAGAGTTTAAACTGAGAGCAGCTTCTAGGCTCTGTGGATACATCGCCTCACTCTAACAAAACGTAAAATAATTGGTCTATTCTGTCAGAATGGATACATTGACAGAAACTTTAATTGGTACTACAGAAAAATGAATGCAATTCAGCAGAAAGCATTGTAAAATGGATCGTCCGTAGCAATGTAACAGAACTTCAGCCTTCAAGATGGTCCTCTTTAAATTAAACAGAAATTCTCATGGCTATGTAAAAGAAAAGAATGACAGCCCTGTTGAATGAACAACAATCTTGCCTTGACTAGCGCTGCCTCATTGTGTCGCCTCAGAGCAGCTCCCGCAGACTTTGGTGTGTGACTGCGGTTCTGAGAGTCTCTGAGTCCTTGAGCGGTGCCTCGCTTCGCTCGCACTGTGTATCGGTGGAAGGTCTTGTGCTGAAGCACTTCTTTTCTGTAAAATACATACACTGTGTTGGGCTGATGCTCACATGTCACTGAGCTGGCTGTCCTACAATACCAGCGATAGTGTGTAATCTAAAGTGCTGAAAACAAGCAAACAAAAAAGTCCACTTACCCTTGAAATACAGCACCAGCAAAGTGGCCTCCACCCGTCATGATAATGACCCACACAGTGTTCTTACTTATGGCCTTCAAGTGGGCATCTTGTACATCGTCTGACTGACATATTACAGAAAAAGAACATGTCAAAAAGGTCTGTTATCATACAGATAACACACTGTACCGTATTGTACATGCTGCACCTCACCTTGCCCTGCAGAATACAGCGGTAGACGGATAGATATTGTCCCGCTGAGTTCTGGAAAACCACCTTGCTCGAGGGCCGGCTGTTGATCAAACTGGTTTCGACTGAGCTCTCGTTGTCGGTGCCGGTGACGTTGCTGCTTGTTCCCCCAACGTCACTGTCAGAATCTTCATCCTCTGAATCGGACTCTGAGCCTGAGATACTCGACATGTCTCCTGTAAAGCCAAAAGCTTTACATCTCAACAGCCCAATGCCGCATTCTTGTTTAAGTCCCAGACAGAGTTTATTTGACAGCAGATACATTTTTAAAATGTGGCCCTGAAAGTGACTCCCACATTCAAGAAGTCTCATTCTCAGAAATGATGTGTCTCTTGGGAAAAATAAGATTCCTAAATAGATGGAAACTTCTGTTCTCATCATTAGTTCATAAGAAGCTCATTTTCCAAAACTGTAAAAAAAAATAAGGAAGCACTTACACTCAGGAAATGGAAAACATTAATGAAATATTGCTTGAGCACTGAAAGGACAATGTCGGACAACAGTAATAAAGAGCTGGAGATCTATTTATAAAGCTCTGTGGATTGAATGGAGCCGGAAAATCACAATAAACGTTAAAAAAAAAATGTATTGTTTCGTCTTCATCCTGTCCTGTTTGGTGTACGTGTGTGTGTGTTTACCTGTGATGACAATAGTATGTGACTTAAAACAATGAAATATTGATTATATTGTAATCAGAAGTTCCTGACAGATGTGCGGGTTTACTCACCGGCTCCAGTCTTCCTCTCAAACTCCTCAGCTGTGACCGGAGGCACTCCTGACAACTTTTGTCTCAAGTTGAACCGATGCCAGTCCAGCTTGTAGTGCTCCATCTGGAAAAATGCAAACACAGTTTAAACTCAAATGACAAAATGACAAAATGGACAGAGCAGTGTTGTGGTTGTGTGTGTGTGTGTGGTCACCTGCTCCTCACGATTATTGAAGGGGCATCTGCAGGCCGAGCAGACCACCTTGTCTGACACCTCTCTAACCAGGCTGGACTCCCGCTGACTGTCATCCTCTGGGGGTTTCTCCTCCAACTCTGTGTGCAAGCATGACAGAAAATGAAGGGTATTGTCTGAACTACATAAACACACAGCTGGGGCTCATATAAACATATATTTATATATATTCATACCGTCTGAGGCAGGGTCGGTGTTCACAGCCTGTTTCACCTCCTTCAGCCCGATGAAAGCCTCATCATCTGGGCACAAATCAAAGATGGAGCGGTAGTCTGCACTGCTCGTCATTGTCCTGTTATCTCATGACCTGCTGTGTAAGAGACATTAGAAACAGAGAAACCCTAATGTGAGTTATCCAAAATAATACGCTCTGTCTCGACATATCCACAATAATTAACTACACCAGTCTGCTGTTAACAACTCACTTCACTCCTCTTCTCTCTGTCTCACATTTGCTGTCTTGAGCTGGCAACAACCTACAAACTAATGTTATACTCTGGTTAGAAAAACAGCCTTATCTGAGCTGATGTAACGTTACTATCTGCTCTTTGAACGACACGTGTAGTAGCGACTAATAGTGGTCATTGTCGACAATAAACCTACCTTTCCTAACAGGTATTTAAGTGTGTTACAACTAATATATAAGTTACAATTAACCGACTTAGAAACAGCAAAGTATTTACCGTAGAAGAAAAAAAAGGTTGCAATAACGTTATGCTGCTTTTCCTTCTTCCTGACATATCTACGGAAGCCCGAGAGCGTCAAAATGGGAAGGCGTTCACAAGCCAAGTCGCAAACTTGCCCATGTTTCCCCACACACGTTTCAGAGGTTTTATACTTTTAGAAATACTGCACAGTAATATCAGGAGTAAAATATAGACTAAAGTACTTAATAACATAATGTACATGTTAGTCTGGAGTAAAGAAACTTACTTTTTACTAGATAAAATATGTTAAATCTAATTTATTTTAATCCCATCTGCATTTTATCACATTTTTTATTAGAATTTTCTCATCTGAATACGCCCTTGGTTTATTCTTGTATCAATTTCCCATTTTACTATTTCCTTGTGTGTGTCAATTTATATTTATATGCATGTATACACAAACACACACATGTACAGGCCTGTTTGTATTTATCAAAAACAGACTGAATACTGGGTGTGTCTGAAATAAAGGAGGTGTATTGTTTTCTGATATATGTGAAAGAACCAGTCAACTAATACAGACTGGGAACAGTAAGTCAGTGGGTGTCAGCACTTGTACAACAGGAGAAAAGGTGCATCAGTCACCAGGTGATCTTTCTAGAGGAAAGACATTTATATTTAGTATTAAAGATCATTTCATATGTTGAACCAAAGCAATGAGCTGAAATGGACTAAAAGCTGTAGAGCTAGCAATTCTTCCCAAATCAGCAATATTAGCTTCCCTTTTACACTTCAGGTTTAACTTGATATATTGGTAAATACTATTGTGTATTACTTTAACAATGAAGTACCCCCACTTGTTTTTTTTATTTTTTTTTAAACTAGAGGTAGGGTGAGGGTAGACATATACACTTTCCAAAACCAGTATTTGTCCCAAACATACTCTGACACTCCTGTGGATTAAGATTTTAAAGAAACCAGATGGAAATGCTGCAGGGAAAGTGTTATGTTATTCTTTAAATGTGTCAAATACAATCCCCAAGTTTACAGAAAAAGTACAATATTTGTCTTAAAATCTAGTTTAGTAAAAATAAATCTAAACTACTCGTCTGCACGGTGTGAACTGGTGGATGGACTAATGAAACAGTGTGTAATCACAGTACTTTAATGTACTTAGTACCTTGTGTCCAATATAAAAAGGTCTAAAACGCTGCTGCTTGTCTATTAAGTACAAGTGCTTCTGAGACAAGATTTAAAAAAAACACTTTATTGGGTGCTACACAATATACAAACAATTACACATATCAAATGCAATAAAAAAAGTGCCTGTTATCTACAAAACAAACAGTAAAATCCTGATTCACTTGGGTTTGTTTTGCTTTCTCTTTGATTTGCTGGTTGGTGCACGGATCGAAGCTTGTGCTGAAAGAGCGAAGAAAGAAAGAGCGTATTTAAAAACCAGGTTTCAAAAACAAGTTTCATCAGTATGTAGACACCCTGTGCTTCCCTTACCTGCCATATTACGGGCCTTGGCCTCCGCCAGAGATCGTTTCACCTCTAGAATTTCCGCAGCAAGGCTACCAGCCTTGTCTGAGAGACACTCACTCCTTTGCTGTAATTCCTTCCTTTGATTTTGGAGAGATAATAAATATACAGTGCAATCAGTCTAGACACAGCAACAA